CGTCCCTGGGATTCTCCAGGCAAGAACACTGGAGTGGGTTGCCATTTCCTCCTCCAATGCATGAAAGTGAAAAGTGAAAGTGAAGTCGTTCAGTCATGTCCGACTCTTAGGGACCCCATGGACTGCAGCCTACCAGGCTCCTCCGTCCATGGGATTTTCCAGGCAAGAGTACTGGAGTGGGGTGCCATCGCCTTCTCCCGCTTAGGACCTGTAAACCCCATTTTTAAGAGAAACATGACTGAAGACAGGGAAACCCCATATGTAGGGTCTTTCAGTAATCAGGGAAGAAGTCTTCCTAGAAAAGACTCATTTCAGTATTCCTAGATTGTGGTACTCCAGAGAGTTTAACACCATTGGGCACTGCATGAGGACAAGAGTCCTCTAGTGACTGGGAAGAGGGCTATTTGAAGAGAATTAAAAGAGAAGAGGACCTTCCTTGCTCAGGAGAACAATGGAAATTGCAGCCTAGACATTAATTCCCTTACAGCTAATTAAACAGGTTTGTTCTTGACGGTGGTCTACTTGACCTGACTATCATTTACACAGATGCAGAGCTACAAGACACTGTCCTCGATGAACGTCCGTTTCCTCTCAGAAGAACTCGGAACCCAGGAGTCAGCAGCCCATAGAGCGCGACGACGAACGGGGTCTGGGTCTGGGCGAGTGAGCAGCTCAAAAAAGAGGGGCCTCTCCTCGCAGACAAGGGCAGCGAACTACACGTCCCAGAATCCTTGGGTTCTCGCGTGAACTACATTTCCCAGAGGGGTATAGCGACAGTCCCTGCCCCGCCCCTCCTGTACCTACTTGGGGTGCCTGGCTCCTGCAGCTGGCGTGAGCAGCCGCCTGGCCTGAGGTTGGCCCAGGCAGCACCTCGGGCGAGTCCAGACCCGAAGCTGCTGTCAGGCTGTGGCAATTCCGGAGCCTCCCACCTGCAGCCCACGGAACCCCAGAGGCCTAGGTGAGGTGAGCGGCGGAGGGTCGGTGGGATGCGGGAGGGAAGACCCGGCCTCGGGAGGATGCGGCGTCGGGGCGCGGGACACAGGCCCAGCATGAGCGAGCTGGGCCTTTGTGGGCGCCAGCGGGCCGAGGGCCGGGCATCCGGGCTCTGTCCGCCTGACGCCACCGCCTCCCACAGACGTGCCCTGAACGCCACAAGTCGGACACTTCCTCCCTTTTGGCCGGGCTCAGCCATCCTTCTGCTTTCTCCAGATAGGTTCCCAGCGCGCTACCTGCCTGGCTCCTTCCGGCGTTTGAATTGCTCTGGGCCGGCAGTGAACGTGAGAAAATAATTTCCTTCCCCTACCGTCGCCGCTGCTCTCCCTAGTGACAGGCTTGTTTTGCCTGAGAAGTGAATCGCCGGCTTCCCCCAGTGGCAGAATCAGGACTGGAATCCAGGTCTCTGGTTGTCTGTACCTCGTTTCTCAAGACAGCAGCCTCCTCCGCCATAGGAGAACTGATACTTTCCCTTTCCAAAGCAGTTTTCTCTAAAAATCTGGACATTGTTTCCTTGCAAGGAGGAGGACGAGTTGGGTGGGAAGACTCGAAGTGCAGAAAAGTTGTCACATATGCACGCAGGGAGTTTAGAGCAGATGCCAGCCTCCCTGGCTGTGTGGACTGGGGCAAGTTGCTCCCACTCTGCCCTCAGTTTCCTGATCCATAAAATGGAGGCTGACAGTGTCAACCGTGCTCAGTAATGCACGTAGTGCCTGGCACTTCATGAGGCTCAAGGAGTTGCTGCTGCTGCTGCTGGTTGAATCCTAGGACGTTTTTCACTGAGCCAGGGAAAGAGCTGGGCCTGGAACAGGATGACCCAGCCCTTCTGTCTGGTCCTGTCTACCCCTGGCTGCTTCTGACTTCCTTCTCTGAGGGCACTTGGCATCATTCTCAGGGAGTGTAAATGATTCAGAGCTGCTGATTCAGAGGGGTGGAAAATAGAAGGGGCTTCCTCCTGGCTCGCTTTGTCTTCCCTCAGATCTGGCTTCTGGACACTTCACCCATCCTCAGGGGACACTGCCCAGAAAGAAGACATGGCTACTGAACAGAGGGAAGCAAGGTCTCAGGTGAGTTCATTGTCCTCTCAAGTCTTAAGGACAGGTGGGGTTTTTTACCCTCAAAGTAAAATTCTGTACCCAATACAGTTTTCGCCAGGATTTGGAGCTCAAGTCCTTTTCTCTTGAAAGAACTCTTACACTGGTGGATGATGGGTTCTGTAGAGAATATTTGCCTTCCCCCTCCCCATCCCACCCTCCCCCATCCATGTCTAGTGCTTCCCCTTTTTTTTTTTACCCCCTAATAGGTGCTCTTTTAGTCATTAACCTCAACTTACTATATGATTACTGGTTTGAGAAGTAAGATACCATATGTCTTATACCACTTGGGGTCAGAACAAACAAACATACACCCTTGGCAGAGTTCCTTTCTGACATACTCCCTTTGCTAACTCATGTCCCCCTCCCTACCCTTGGCCAGAATGCTTTTCTTTTTCTTTCCACCCCTGAGAATCCTCATGATACTTTCCGAGGCTTTGCCCAGTCCATAGTTTTTCGTTTTTTCTCCTTCTTAACTTTCTGGATCATGTAGCTTGTTTCCATCACTGCCTTGAAAACTGCTCTTGACCTGCCGTTTTCATCTTTATGCTGTGAAAGTGAGAGTGGGACCCCATCCCGCTGAGCTAGTGTGCAAATAAAGGATAACCATGTTGGAGGGGACGTAGATGGAGTAGTCTCTTGACTCCAAGAGTAGAGAGAAGACTCCTCAGGAAGCAGCAGTGAGAGTCCATAGGATATTGGTAGTGGAGAGTAGGGTATACAGTGATTACTGAGTGGTTCTTTTGAGCCGGATGGCCAGGTTTGTGCCCATCTTCTCTGTTGCTATTAATGTGCCTCAGTTTCTTCACCTGTGTAAAGAAAACATCCATGCCTACCTCCTAGCATAGATGAGAGGATCCTGGGAATTAGTGCATGGAAAAAGTTTTGATCAGGGCCAGGCGCATAATAGCTATTCAGTATGTGATGGTTGTGGCGGCTGAATGATATTAATATAATATATGATACTATTATTGTTGGTAGATAGAAATGACGGTACAGTGTTCGTCTTTTACTCATCCTCATCTAACCATACTAGGTAATGTTACTAGGGAATATCCCGAGGGCTTTAGCTTTATTCTCACTGTTATAGCAAAGTAGAAGTCATTACCCCCATTTTACACTTGCCACTGAGGCTCAACAAAGTCAGGTAATCTGAAATCAAACCCAGGTTCTAAGTTCATGTTGGTTATCGTCCAGTCATTCCTCTTTTACCTCTTTTCAGAACACAGGGCAAGCCTAGCCCCCAAATTACCAGAGCTGTCTGCAGTAGAATATTGTATATTTTCTGAACCCATGAAATGTGGTGGTTGATCTGCGGCTATGGCTAGGACCTGCCTTTGCACATTTGGGTTGCTTTCTTCTAAGGCTTTCTCATTCCATTCCAGCAGAGCCAAGCTGCTCTCTTGCCCCAGATCTTCTCTGTCCCTGTGTATGAGTCCTATATGACATTTCTCCCTAACCTCACCTGCTGTCTGTACATCAGTCCTGTGTGGACATGTGTATAAAACTCAGTGACAGGACGTTTAAGACTAGAGAATGAATATACCCACCAAGTGCTGGGTTAAAAGAAAACTTCAGTTACTGTCTTGTCTCTGCCATAGATAATGTAGTATGTGCCCTGGATCTTATGTTCCTCATCTCTAAAATGAGGAGTAAACTAGGAAATGGTATATAGTCTTTTCCAGCAACACTTTTTTCTTTCATTGCTCAAATTATTCATGCATTTTTCCTGTCTACCAGTTGGATTGTTACTTTTTTTGAGGGCAAAGATCATTTCTTATATCCCTCCCCTGTGCCAATAAATTATCTTATTATATGGCACTGCATGTTAATGTTAAAAAAATTCAGAAAATAAAAAATACATATATAAAAAAGAAAGTAAAATCACTCTTATGCCAGCATCCCCTGGACAAAATAATGGTCATTTCTTTGGTATGCAGCCTTCAGAATAATTTTCTTTATACCTTTATTTATTATTTATTTATGTACATAATGTATGTGTGTACTTTTCTTTTCTTTGCATTGTTCACTTAAGAAGACTTTCTTTTCTCTCCTTGCTGTTCTCTGGACTTCTGCATTCAGCTAGGTATATTTTTCCCTTTCTCCTTTGCCTTTCACTTCTCTTCTTTTCTCACATTTGTAAGGCCTCTCAGACAGCTACTTTGCCTTCTTGCATTTCTTTTTCTCGGGGATGGTTTTAGTCACCCCCTTCTGTACAATGTTATGAACCTCCATCCATAGTTCTTCAGGCACTGTCTACCAGATCTAATCTCTTTTAATTTTTCATTGTGATAATATATACATAAGATTAAATTTACCACTTTAACCATTTTTGAGTATATAATTCATTGACATTAAATAACATTCACATTGTTGTGTTACATCATTACTGTTTATCTTCACTGTATGGATTATCTCATTTATTTCTTAACCCTGTGAGATAGGCGTTGAGAGGAAGTTTTGCAGAGTGGTTAAGTATGAAGCCTTGGATGTTCCCTGGATTGGAATTCTATCTCTACCACTGACCAGCTGTGATATTGTGACTTATAATATGAAGTATATATTTGGTCTTTGTCCTTGTTTCTGGCACATAATTTCCCAAACCCTTGTGATTTCCTAAGTGATTAGTAATAAATGATTTTAATCCCTGAAATTACTTCAGAGCAATGAAGGCAAAATGGATGTGCTTTGTTATTCATAACAAGGCCTTTCATTCACACCAGAGTTCGTTTGGTGACTTTTGGACCCCACCTAAAGATGGGGACTCATTGCCAGGGAAGCTTCATTAAAGGGTTGGAGCTTTCAGTCCTGCCCCTTTTACCCATGTTACCCACCCACCACCACCCTAAGAGATGAAAGTTGAATCAGTTGCTAACGGTCAATTAATTATTTAATCAATCATGCCTATGTAATGAACCTTCATAAAAATCCAAAAGGGTTCAGAGTTCTTCCAGGCTGGTGAACATTTAAAGAGTCAGAGAAAATGGCAAATCCATAGTGCACCCCTTTCCTGTACATCTCTTTCATCTGCCAGTTCCTGAGTTACATTCTTTTTATCATAAACCAGTAATCTAGTAAGTAAATGTTTTCCTAAGTTCTGTGAGCCACTCTGGCAAATTAATCAAACCTTAGGAGAGGGTTGTGGAAACCTCCAATTTATAGCCAGTCAGTCAGAAACACGGGTAACAACCTGGACTTGTGATTGACATTGAAGGGGGGCCAGTGTTGTGGTTCGGATCCTTTAACCTGTGGATCTGACACTACCCTCAGTGTCAGAATTGAGTCTCGTTGTAAGACCCCCAGCAGGTGTTGCACAATTGCTTGGTGTATGGAAAACCCCCCACATCTGGTGTCAAAAGTGAAATAGTACTGTGTTAAGAGTCAAAGAGGCTTACAAGAGGGGTGATTTTTCCTTCATACCAGCTGTGTGACTTGGATAAATTTCTCCTTTGCTTTCTCATGTGTAAAGTGGAGATATTTCATAGGGTTGTTGTGAAGACAAAGATTTACACTAAAGATTAATATAAAGCTCTAAGAATAGTACTTGGCCTGAAAAAAGCTTTTAATAAATAATAGCTGTTTTACTTTTCATTNAAGAATCTGTGATTGAGCCTGAGGAGAAGTCACCAGCAGATGGACTGCAGGACAGGCCATATCCATCCCTAAAGCCCACACACCTTTAGGAGAATGCTTTCTTCCTAAGGTGAGATCGTACAAGGTGAGATATTTTGAGGTGGAAACCACACGTTTTCTTTGTTTATATCTTTTAACTGTCATTTGGGAGAAATACACTAATTTTGTGGGAACTTCTGGAGACCACCACAGAGTAAACATAGAACTCAGGCAGCGAGGAGCCAGTGGAGAGTCAGGAAGGATGTCAGTCCCTCTGTCAGGTATGGGCTGAGTCTGGCAGGAAAGGTCAGAGGAAGAAAAGGAAGAATTGTTCCCTTTCCCTTCACCTCAGGAGACTCTGATCCATGAGTCCCCCTTCCTGAGTGAAGTGTTCGTTGGATTAAACTGAATAGAAAGTATGACCGGAGTCCAGAGCTGTCCAGAGAGACCCCAAGGCCACCTTGCAGAGATGTGGAGTCCTTCTCAGGTTTGGGAAATTGAAGGAAAACTCTGAGTGGGTGTCTGGAGGAAGTAAAGACGTCAGAGCCAACCAGTGTGTGCATTTCTCTTGATGCGATGAACTTCCTCTCTTTGGTCAAAGGTGACAGTCAGATGGGGTGTCCTGGGAGTGCTGGCTTGTGTTGTGTCCCTCCTACACCCCTGGTGAATCCCCCATCTTCCTGGGCTAAAGTACCCTTGAAACAATTTCATTCCAAGAGGAACTCACTGCCCTGTGTGCTCAGGTGTAGGACCTGGATGTTCTTGGAAGCACTTCGATTATTAACTCTAGACCAGAGCCAAAAACCAACCCTTTGAACAACTAGTGACAGAAAAGCTTATGCTTCCAAGGTAGGACTCCTAGGATCTTTAGTTGCTTCCAAATATGTTTTTTAAAATATTATTTTCACTTCAAAACTACTCACAAATAGGAAAAACAAACAAAAAGGGAAAACAAACTGTCATCCCTAGATCCATATGTTTTATATTGAGATATAGGAGGGAATGGCTCAAAAGGTACACATCTAATCTGAGTCTCTTACTTAAGAAATTAGTCCAAAGTCTATAATCAGTTTTCTGGAATATTATGTATATTATATGTGTGTATATGTACATAATTGTTCAGTTGCTCAGTTGTGTCTGGCTCTCTGTGACTTCATGGTCTGCAGCATACCAGGCTCCTCTGTCCTCCATTATCTCCCAGAGTTTCCTCAAACTCATGTCCATTGAGTCAGTGATGCCATCCAACCATCTCATCCTCTGCCATCCCCTTCTCCTATGCCTGCAGTCTTTCTCAGCATCAGGGTCTTTTCCATTGAGTCAGCTCTTTGCATCAGGTAGCCAAAGTATTGGAGCTTCAGCTT